GGTTTCTGTTCAAGACTTAGGGCTCCTTTTAGGAATTCTTGTATTGCTGGCTTGGCAGTGGCAAATTCTCTTAATATTTGTTTGTCTGAAAAAAACTTTATGTTTCCTTCATTTATGAAGCTCACTGATACAACGTTCTTGACTGATAATGATTTTGTTTAAGTATGCTAAAGACAGGATCCCAATCTTTCCTAGTATGTATTCTGCTAAAATATCTGCTGTTAACTTGACAGGTTTTCCTTTTTAGGTTACCTGATGCTTTTTGCCTCATGGTTCTTGAGATTCTTTCCTTTGTCTTGACTTTAGGTAACCTGATGGACTATGTGCCTAGGTGATTTTTTTTGTGATGTTTCCCAGGTGTTCTTTGAGCTTCTTATATTTGGATGTCTAGATTTCTAGCAAGGCCAATGAAGTTTTCCTCGATTATTCCCTCAAATAAGTTTTCTAAACTTTTAGATTTCTCTTCTTCCTCAGGAAAACCAATTATTCTTAGGTTTGGTCACTTAACATAATCCCAGTCTTCTTGGAGGTTTTGTTCATTTTTATAAAAAAATATATTTTTTCTTTGTCTTTATCAGATTGGATTAATTTCAAAACCCTGTCTTCAAGCTCAGAAGCTTTCTTCTACTTGTTGGATTCTACTGTTGAAACTTCCAAGTGTATTTTGCATTTCTCTAAAGGTGTCATTTTCCAGTTGTTTTTAATTTATGATATATATTTCTCTGAATATCTTTTCATGCATATCCTGTGTTATTTTAAAAATTTCTTTAAATTTTCACCTTTTTCTGTTGCCTCTTTGAGTAACTTATTAATTGACCTCTTGAATTATTTTTCTTATAATTCAGAGATTTGTTCTTGATTTGGATTCATTGCTGGTGAGCCAGTATGATCTTCTGGGAGTGATATAGAACCTTGTTTGTCCAATTACCAGAATTGTTTTTCTGGGTCCTTCTCATTTGGGCAGACCATGTAAGAGGAAAGACTTGAGTCCCAAGGACTAAGATTCTTTTGTACTGCAGGGTGATCCTTTGATGTGGTGCTCTCCCCCTTCATGAGAGCCAGTTTGCAATGATCGTTATTTCTCTTCTGGGTCTTGCCACCCAGCAGAGCTACTGGGCTCTGGGCTGGTACTGGGGGGTGTCTGCAAAGAGTCCTGTGATGTAATATGTCTTCAGGTCTCTCAACCATGAATACCACCACCTCTGGTGGTGGTGGCAACAGGGGAGTGACATGGACTCTGTGAGGATCCTTGGTTGTAGTTTTGTTTAGTACACTGGTTTTCTTGAATGCTGGTTATGCTAGCAATGAAGTATGTCACAGACTCAGGACCTCTGGTTAAACAGAATGTTACAGGTGATGGAATTAGATGTTGTTTTCTCCTTCTTTGGAGCAAGGTTGTTCTGTTATGAGTTGCTATAATGGCTTGAGTTGATTGGCCTTCAGCCAGGAAGTGGAACTTTCAAGAGAGCATCGGCTGTGGTACTATAGAGGGTCTATAAGCTTGCCCTGAAATCACCTGCATAAGTATTCACGTTTCTCAGATGATAGATGGGACCATGGAGCTCCCATGAATTTACATTTTCTGTCTTTGGCTACCAGGTGGATAGAGAAAGACTGTGATGATTAATAATGAGGGTCAATTTGATTGGATTGAAGGATGAAGTATTGATCTTGGGTGTATCTGTGAGGGTGTTGCCAAAGGAGATTAATATTTGAGTCAGTGGGCTGGGAAAGGCAGACCTATCCTTAATCTGAGTGGGCACAATCTAATCAGCTGTCAGCTCAGCCAGAATAAAAAGCAGGCAGAAGAATGTGAAAAGACTACACTGGCTTAGTCTCCTACCCTACATTTTTCTCCCATGCTGGATGCCTCCTGTCCTCAAACATTGGACCCTAAGTTCTCTAGCTTTGGGACTTGGACTGGCTTCCTTGCTCCTCAGCTTGCAGGTGGCCTACTGTGGAACCTTATGATGTGAGTTAACACTCCTTAATAAATTCCCATCCATCCATCCATCCATCCATCCATCCATCCATCCATCCATCCATCCATATTAGTTCTGTCCCTCTAGAGAACCCTAATAAAAACACCGTAAGGTGGAAGAATGGTTAGGCATGTCTGGGCTCAGACTCTCCTTGGGCAAGGCTTGATGCAACCACTGTGGGGTATGGGCAGGGCGCAGTTCTCAGGGCAACGAAGTTATGTTCCAAGCGGAATTATGGCTGCCTCTGCTGCTTCATATAGGTCTCCAGAAAAGTGGGGGAATGGTGGTATTGATAGGTCTCACCCAGCTCCCATGCAGCCAGCAAGGTCAGTCTCACTCCACTAAGCTCCCCAAAACAGCCAATGGAGCTGAATTTATATCCTGGCCTCTGGTATACAGGGCTGAGATCTTGCCCCAGGTTGCAAGCCTCTTAGCTAAGAAAGCAAGCTGGACTTTCAGGCCTTGCTCCTCCCTGCCAGGGTGGCTTCTGTGCTCCTATCCATTTCCCATTTGCCCCCAACCCTACCACTGCCAATATTCTGCCCAGGAAAATTCACACTTGGATGAAATTATTAAAAAGTTTGGCTGGAAGTCTCCTTCTCCTTGTGGTCCTTCCCAAATTCCACTGACTGCCCTCCCCAAGAACCCCTGTGAGAGAGAGTCATAAAAGGCTTCCCTGCGCTTCCTAGGCAACCCGGCATGCCCACAGAGCTCTCCCCATTGCTACTTCTACTTTTATATTTCGTTCAGCTCTCTAAATTTGCCTCAGCTCTAGGTAAGGTTAAATCCTTCTCTTGTGATTTGGATTTTCCGGTTCCCCAGTGAGGATATGTGTCTGGAGACAGACGTTTCCCCTCTCAGAATTTGGGCACTTACAGTTTTACGGCTGTCTCATGGAATTTGCAGGAACAGCCCGCTTCTTTCAAAGGGTCTGTAAATTCTTTCAGTTTCCTGGTATGTTTCTACGGTGGTTCTTGGAGTAAAAGTTCTCAATACACTGCTCTGTCTGTCCAAGCGGGAGTTGCCAATTAGTCCTACCTACTGTCTGCCTTTTTTTAAAAAAAAAACCCACCCTATCCACTAAGAATTGCTAATTTATCCTTAAAGCAGCTTTAACTGCCACCATTAAAATACTAGTTATATTTTTAAAGTATGCTAGCAGTATCAGAATAAGTTTTAGCATATTATGAGTAAGACAGTCCAACTAAAAAGAAGTATTTTTCCAAGTAAATATGAGTTTCCTTCATTTAAAATCAAAATTATAGGGAGTCAAAATCCAAAGGAAAAAAAAGTACTTATTTTCCAAGAAAATAAAAGTGTTTAAAGGTTTTCAATGTCTTAGACAAAAAGCAAACTCTTCTATGAAACAGAGGTGATGACAAATTCTCTTGTTATTCCTGCCTAGGAAATATGTAACCTAATGAGGAACAACAGGAGACAGAATAAATTTATTCACATATATATTTTGTATATTTATACAATATGTAAATATATATATATATTTATCCACATAAACCTTTAGCGTATATATTTATCCAATAACCTTTAGAGAGTCCTAAAAAGTATTCTGTAACTTAAAACCAGTTGAGCGCAAAACCATAAATTCATTCACTGTTAGAGCTAAAACGGAGTTCAAAAATTATTAAATACACAGAAACATGGGTCCAGGAGCAAGAAATTTAAAGGACACAAGCAGTTACAATTTAATTGAAAATTAAAGCCCTGAGTTACTGACTCAGATTCAGTAATTGTCAACGGAATGTTATCCAGACTTTACTGAAATTCTTTGCATTTGGTTTTAAGTATGCCAAGTTAAAGCATTAAAATTGAACTAATAACGAACACAAATGACAATGACCACTGTAATATGCATCTCATTTCACAGCCACCTTTTAGTAATTCCCTTCATTCTGAAATAAAAAAATGTCCATAAGAAAAAATTTACGTAAGTTACTAAATCAATATGTTCTCAAAAAGTGAGGAAAACCAATGAGTATGATATAGGACAAAAATGAAATATAAAACAAAAACTTTTAAATGGATTGTAGAAAATATTATAAAAAGATAATAGATCTTTTGTTTCTGATACAATTTATGTATGTGGAATTCTTTGTCATTCTAAGCTAAAATTTTTAGCTCATAATTAGATGATTGATATTATAACTAAGTGCCTTATGTTTCCTAAAAAAGTAAGAGTTAATGCAGATAAGCAAAAGAAAATTTTAAGCAATTAAAATGTTTTCCAAAAACATAGCTACTCTGCAAACACGCGCGCGCACACACACACACACGCCTATAAAGCAATATTATACTACAATATTTCTCTTTTATTCCTCAAGTTTAAAATACTCTTTATTTCTTAAAAGAAAGTTTCCCAAATTCCAAAATATTATTATAATTCTCCATAAACTCTTAAAAAATGATAACATATTATAAGAATTTACAGGGCTTCCATACAATATGTTTAAAAATGTGATGAACAGCATGTTTTAAAACTATTTTAAAAGGAGGTCAAGTCTGACCTCTAGGCCATGAAGCACTACATTAACAGCTCTGCAAAAAGAAAAATGATAAGGTATGAAATGAATGCTCAGAAACTAGGACCTTATCAGTTAGAATATGATTCAAGCCTGTAAGACAAATTGCTCAGCAAGGCAAGTCACCTTCCTGCTGTGATGAGGATACAGCTGAATTTCCAATGCCAACGACTATCTACCTCATTGTGTCACCTAGTTTGATATCATACAATCAAGGAATGGCATATAGTTCTGAAGCATCTACCACTTATTTTGAATACATTTTGTCAAAGTCACCAACTAGGATAATTATGTTTGTCCTTTAACTGACAACTCAGTGTTAAAAATCTTTAAAGAATAATCACTAAAAGAAACTACTGTGACCCTTCAAAGCATAAAATTTATTTGTTATCTGAATCATTTTTAACAGCTTGCTTGGTTTTAAAAATAATGCCATAAAAATTTAGCAAAGTCCATAAAATGTCTTACTTTAATTGCATACCTGAACACTGATGGACTTTTTCAGCAGTTCTTCTACAAAGTTCCAATTTGATTCCATTTTTCTCTAGAAAGAGAGAAAATAGTAGTATATCAAAATTATTGCACTTGATTATGCCTATACTTAAAATTAGGATATAGGAAATTATGTGTCCAGTACATTTTTCTCTATCATTCAGCATTAATGTAATTTCTTGAATTTCTAATATTCCTTCGGTAAAAAGTTAACGAACTTGGCAGAAAAAAATGTACTGCTATTCCAATCCAATACAAACCGTAACATGACCTGTAACAGTGGTACTTCAGTAAGATATAGATATTCTACCAAATCTTTAATTTCTGCTTTCAGATACAAAAATCCAACAGAAAAAAAAAACCTCCATATATCTACATGTATTTTTGGTGTGTTTTTTTTTTAAATGCTGAGTATTCATCTCTATTTTCCACTTTAATCACTGGAGCTTTTCCCTTCATTTCACGCTTAATAAACCTGAGACCATCTGCTTTAGTAAACAAAGTAACTAAAATTTCATACAGAAAATAAAGGAACCTTTACACAGTGCTACCACATTTTGCTAATGGTCACCTATCTGGCAACCTCAACTATCTAGAATGAGCTCTGTGATAAGTTAGAAAGCTAAAAAGGACTTTCACAAAGGCTAGGTAGGAACTTAATTCCACATTTCCAAAAGGAAAGCCTAGAAAACAATCTCCAGGATACTTTGTTCACTTAATACTCAGTTCTTAAGTTCTGCACATGTGCATACTGAACAAAACCAGAAGCAAATCAAGTATTTTTAAATAATAAGCAGGAGGGGGAAAAAGGTATAAAAAGTAATCATAAGACCCAAAACAGCAAAACCTAAGGCCTTAAAAAGTAAAAGAAAGACTTTCACTATACCCTTCTTATCCCTGTTATAAAGAATATGATGCTCACAGGAATGAACTAAAATGACAAATAAAGTGTTAAATAAACCATAATGAATACTCATCATGATTTTAAATGGCTAGACAATATTCATGTAAAATGCTAACTATAGTAAATCTCTAAATAAAATTAGTCTTACTGTCGCCCAGGATGGAGTGCAGTGGCTGGATCTTGGCTCCCTGCAGCCTCCACCTCCCAGGTTCAAGCGATTCTCCTGCCACAGCCTCCCGAGTAGCTGGAACTACAGGTTCCCCTCACCACGCCTGGCTAATTTTTCTATTTTTAGTAGAGATAGGGTTTCACCATATTAGCCAGGCTGGTCTCGACCTCCTGACCTTGTGATCTACCCACCTCGGCCTCCAAAAGTGCTGAGATTACAGGCATGAGCCACCATGCCCGGCCAATATTTTCTTAATAAAGAGCATAGAGAGTATGGTAGTCAGACTCTAAGATGTCCCCCAATGACCCTTGTCTTCTGGAATTTATGCTTTCTACAATTCCCTCTCTCACTGTACTAAGGTGGGTCACTAACAGCCTACCAATACCAATATGAGTGATAGTATGTCACCTCCAAGAATAGGTTACAAGACACTGAAGCTTCCATCTTCACGATACTTTGACCTGTTAACTTGATCTGGAAACAGCTATATTGTGAACAGCCCATATGATGAGAAAGAAACTGAAGGATTCTGCCAACAAAAGTAAAGCCGAAAGCAAATCCTCCAGTTCCAGTTAAACCTTCAGATACTGAAACCCTGTCTGATAGCTTCTCTGAACCTTATGACAGACCCTGAGCTAGAACCACCCTGCTAATCTTTTCTTGAAGACCCGACTCTCAGAAACTGAGTGTTAGATAATAAATTTTTGTTTGATGCTGGTAAACTGTTACACAGCAATAGACTACTAATACAATGATTTAGTTATTTTTAGCGAAATTATTGACTTTTTGACATACAGAAATAAAGTGAATGAAAAAAAAAAAACAATTTATTGGGAGAAAATGTGGAGTAAAGAATTTGGCCTTGCCCAAAGAAAAGATCTGGCCTGTTGGGCGCCGTGGCTCAAGCCTATAATTCCAGCACTTTGGGAGGCAGAGGCAGGTGATCACTTGAGGTCAGGAGTTTGAGACCAGACTGGCCAACATGGTAAAACCCCATCTCTACTAAAATACAAAAGTTAGCAGGGTGTGGTAGTATGTGCCTGTAATCCCAGCTCCATGGGAGGCTGAGGCAGGAGAATTGCCTGAACCCAGGAGGCAGAAATTGCAGTGAGCCGAGATCATGCCACTGCACTGTAGCCTGGGCAACAGAGTGAGACTTCATCTCAAAAACTAAAAGAAAACAAAAACAAGAAGAAAAAAAAATAAAGAAAAGATGTGGCCTTTGCCCTTAGTTTCCTGGAGGTCTTCTCTGGGCCCTCTGAATGTTATGCCTGATAATAGCATCTTTGACTAGGGGCCTATGGTCACACTGGATAATTTAACAATGTGATAGAGAGTGAAGGCTGGACACACCCATGTTGTCTTAGCTTAGGGACTGGTCATGCCCAAAAGACCAACAGTGTGACTCAGACTGGGGGCTTTAAGTCAGGTGACTTGGAAACTGAAACCAGTTATGTGAGCAATTTAATAGTCCTTGCCTACATAATGAAACTCCCATAAAAACTATGAACACTGAGACTTGAGTGGACACCTATTTTGCAACACTCCTTGCATGCTGTCACATACTGATAGCAGGAGATGAACGTGGCCTGACTCCATGAGGAGAAAACAATAGAAGTTCCACATTTGGCACTTCTGGACTCTGGCCTATGTCCCTTTTCTTGGCTGATGTTAATTTATATCCTTCCCCTTAAGAAAACAAAATAATAGCTTTCAGTGAATTCTGTGAGTCCTAACAAATTATCAAACCTAAGGATAACAATAGTTTTGGGAACATTCTGAACTTTCAATTGGTGTCAGAAGTAGAGACAGTCTTAGGGACTGTGCCCCGAAACTTGGCAGTTGTCCCTAAAAGTCTCTCTCAAAAAAATATCATTTTCTTATATCAATACTATACGTATACTGTTATGTTCTTCATACATTACTTCCTCAAAATAATTTTCCCATTTCATGGAAAACGTAATTAAGTCTCAGGAAGGTCATGTATGTAGAAGTCAAACGAATGAATTCAAATCCAAATTTATCTGGCACCAAAGCCTGTATTTCTTCTATTATAAAATGTACCAGTAACCAATTTTTTTTTCCTTAGCACGCCTTCTCTCAGATTTCAGTAATACATTTTTGTATCATTCTTTATTAAGAAAATGTCACCTTCAGTGCCAAGTGAGAAAGGCCATGATAGGGTTAAAGTTTTAGCTTTATAACTGGTTAGAGTTCAGTATATTTCAATCATTCTGTGTTAGCAAAGCATTTGAATCACAAGAATTACAGAAAAACAGTGTAATTCTCACCCAAAGAATTTCAACTATGTAAATCAGTATTGTGGCTATAATGTAAAACAAAAATAAACAGTAATTCAAAGAAAAGAATGGCAACTATATCATGCCCAAATCAAATGTAAGAGAAGACATATCAAAGAAATACAGATTTTTCTTCCACAATAAAATTTCACTTTGAGCAGCTACAGGTTTTTTTTCTACTTTCCAAGTTAAATCTGCTGATAGAAAGGATGTAGGATGTCATCACTTTGAGGTTACATTTTATATTTCTTATCTCAGTATTAAAACTAAGACACCCATTTAAGCTTTAGTATACATAGGATCTCTACCAGACATGTAAAATTGATCCTCCACCCTCCACTTCCAGCAGATGAGGTAGTCTGGTGGAACTTTCATTTTAAGGTTACATTTCACACTTTTATCTGGTTACTATTTCAGATGCTTCAAAGATGAGCATCAGCTAGCCTGACTGATTGTACCATGTTCTGGCTACAGAAAACACCGTTAGAACTGACCCCCTGCAATGCCCAGAAGTAATTTTCCTTTTTAAACTATATTTGGTTTTAAATAGATGAATAGAATTGTGAGAGTAACCCGCTCTCATCTTGGTTGAGAGAAAATCATTAAATTGTATGAAAATCTAATGACTCTAATATGCAAAGTGAGATACCAAATTTTTCTTATAGGCCTACACTAAGAAATTGGCTAGCTTTGTGAGTTAAATACATTATAGCTTTGTGATTTAAATCCACTACAGGTTTACATTTTAAACCTATTTAAAATGTAAAGATTTCACATTAACCTTCAGGGCAAAGCAGTTCACATTTAAAAACTGAAACATCTCCACACTGCTACAAGATTAGAGATATTTCTCTGGTGAAGAACATATGACTAGCCATTATTACTTCATATCATCTCTTACTCCAGATTACTCTTCAGTAGAATAAAACATGCTTACAACACAACCATTTTCTCTGCTGTAGTTGGTTATGTTAATATATCATAAGGAGGAAAAAAAAAGAATTTTCAAAATTCTAATCTAAATAGATCCCAGACCCAAATTAACATCTTGTATAATATCTCAGAAACAACATGTCAATATGCCTTTATGTTCATAGCTTAGAATGACTATCTGATTTGTCAGTTAAACTGAAACACTTTGAGGATGAAAGGAAAAATTAACCAGTTAGGATAAATAGATAATACGTATCAAATGGGACTGTCTGTACCTGATAAACTGGAACACATGGTTACCCTATCAAAGACCTATTCAGAAGAGGCAATCCTTAGGAGAATTCTAATATCAAGTTTATCTAAGAGATAAAATAGGGTGATATTTAACCACAGTGTATCTCAACTCCTTTAGCTGTAAAACAAATCTATTACCCTCTGACCTACTTTATATTTCACTGAGATAATATACAGTAACTATGAAATAATAAATATACTGTAAATGCAGCACGTATTTTACCCCTAATGAAAACTATTATTACCTAGAGAGCTTGTTTTTCTTTAAAAGCCTTTAAGAAATCCAGAAATATTTAAAACTCTTTAAGGACTCCTATATAAAGACAAAGTTTATTTTACACGTACATATACACCTATATACTACACATCCTCATCATTTTATCATATGCAAGGTTCTTTTTCAATTAATTATCAAGGCCTTTTCTTTTAAAACCTTCTACATAAAATATATGATTTTAAAAAATAAAAGTATCTTGGCAAAAGAAAATCACACAGGAACTGCTGACAAATATTAAAAGACACAAGTTAAGCTATTTTAAACATAGACAATTCATTTACTACCTTAATTCAGAGCAAATAAAAGCAATAATCTCCTTTGGAGTTCTCTGTATGAAATAGAAGAGTGATTTCAGCACTGTTACCATGGGTGGTTCTCTATCAGTGCAATTCAACATTACAATAGCAATGATATATATTAACGTGACTAGATTGCCTACCACACTGAGAATATCTGGGGGGTCAATATCAACTAATATTGAAATATACCATGGACTCAGATAAGTGTTAATACAGTTCCGACAAATATTAATAACCGTAAAAGGATATTCCTTAAAGCAAGAAGTAGTACAATCTGACAGGGTTCAGTGGCTCACGCTTGTAATCCCAGTACTTTTGGGAGGCTAAGGCAGGTGGATCACCCGAGGTCAGATGTTTGACACCAGCCTGGCCAACATGGTGAAACTCCACCTCTACTAAAAACACAAAAATTGTCTAGGCACGGTGATGTATGTGTGCCTATAATCCCAGCTACTCGGGAGGCTGAAGCAGGAGAGTTGCCTGAACCCGGGAGGCAGAGGTTGCAGTAAGCCAAGATTGTGCCACTGCACTCCAACCTGGGTGACAGTGAGATTAGATCTCAATTAAAAAAAAAAAGGTAGTACAATGTATTTCATGTGTATCCTCTCACGGGCACCTAATAGTATGTTAATACCTAAAAGGAACTCAGAAATGCTTAATTGCCATATTTACTTAGATTGATTAAAATGAGAAATATATACCTAAAGCTGGAAAGGAAGAGAAATGCAAATGCTTATGTTAAGACCTTAGAATCATAGGTTATTTTTTTTTAGTTCCTTTAATATTGTTGTAGTATTCTAATAATGAAAATATTTGAAATCACATTAACTCCACAAAAATATTTAATAAAAAAGCTACTATAATAATAACGGCAATTGCTAAATTAATTATTTACTCTGTATTGGCATGGTAAATACACATGGATACAAACAAAAACACATAATTATTTTCAGTGAGAAGTTCATTGACTTTTCTCAATAAACTAGTAGAATACTTAAATACCCGGATACTGAGCTGTGTGTGTGAACTTCTCAGACCAATGTCTGACTTATTTCACTGTATGCTAGGATCTCCTAAAGGGTCTTTTATTATTAGGGGGATTATTTAAAGGACTTTATGAGACCCTTTCCATTTCTATGATGCTATGTTAATACTAACCCTCAGATTCCCTAGATGACTTCTCAAAGCTGGGTCTATCCAATATTCCACAGAGGAAAATCCATCAAGCCTATCAAATAATATGTTTCATAAAGCAATGGTTCCCATACCTCTTAGAAGATGAGAACCAAGGAACTTTTTAAAAATCAGGATTTCCAAACTCCAAATCGAATTACTACGTCAGGATCTCCAGTTAGTATCTAGATATCTGGATTTTTTTTTTTTTGAGATGATATCTCACTCTGTTCCCCAGAATGGAGCGCAATGGCGTGATCTCCGCTCACCACAACCTCCATCTCCTGGGTTCAAGTGATTCTCCTGCCTCTGTCTCCCAAGTACCAGGTACATCACCATGCCCTGCTAGTTTCTGAATTTTTAGTAGAGACAAGGTATCACCATGTTGACCAGGCTGGTGTCGAACTCCTGATCTCAAGTGATCCACCCACCTTGGCCTCTCAAAGTGCTGGGATTATAGGCGTAAGCCACCGCACCTGGCCTAGATACCTGGATTTTTAAAAAATCACAAGTAAGTCTAATGATCAGCCAGGTTTGGGAACCACTGCCATAAAAAAGACCAATTTTGAAAATATAAACACATTTGCTTCATGATTCTAGATGTTTATTTTATGGAACTGATAGGCTGATACAATAATACAATACTATTAACTGCTGAATATGGTAGAAATTGTATAAAAATAGGTTTTCAAAGTAGAAATCTATTAGCGGGCTTTATTCATAAGGTTTTTAAAGTAACACTGTAAAGAATGTTTCTAATGAGAAATTAATATACTAGTTAAACTCTATTTGAAGCAAAAGCTTCACTAGAGAAGCATTATTCTCAAGTACTTTTACTAAATTATTCACAAAAATAAGTAATTCATTCCTCAAGATATTTCTTTGCCAATCTTAACAGATTTTAAAACTAGAAGGAAACTTTGTGACAATCCAACTCCATGACTTTTTGTTAAGGGAAGACAGGTTGGAAAGGTTTAAGTAATTTGCTCAGGATCGCACAATTGCTCAGTAGCAGGGCCAGGACTATATACCAAACCTTCCACAAGTTCCCTTTTTTTAAATTAATTAAAATATAAACTTTATAATTTTTCAAGATGTTTACAGAAACATTATACACAGATATAAATAACTTATCTCTGTGATTCTAATCTGACTTGTTTCTGCTCATTTTCTAATTTGTCCAAATAATACATATTAATTGACAATATAAGCAAGTTTTAAAAAAATGAAGTCTTACCATTTCATCTAGTACTCCATGGCGATCAAACTGGTAAAATGATGCTACATGAGTAATAATCCACCAACTAAAACCTAACGGATCCCTGGACTGGATTACAGGCATAGAGGGTCTTCTTCGGTCACTTGACTTTTCAAACAGTGTTTTAAGTAGTTTATTCAACCAGGTCCAGAATGACTATAGAAACAAGAGGTAATTTGATTCTATTAAATTAAGACAGTTTCAAGAACCTTTGATTTAGTGGTTTTTCTCTATTTTTATAATAAAGCATACATACAAAAAACAATACAAAATATACATATAAAACTTGAATAATAAAAATACCCAGGTTAAGAATCAGAACATAACTGGTACTTTAGAAGTACTCTACTTCTTCTTCCTCCATCCAGGGTTAACAATTTTGCTTACTTTCATAAACAATCATTTCCTTGCTTTGCCACACAGGTACATAAGCCTGTATTACATATTATGTGGCTTCATCAGAGTTTGGTTTTTTTTAAAATTCATGTCTGTATTCTTAAGCAGCTTGTTTCTAATTCTTTTGTAACTTGCTTCTTTTGGTCAATGCTACGTTTCTGAACTCATCCATATTAATGAAAACATCATAATTCATTGTAATATTCCTGTATATGACTATATGATAAAACATTCAATCTACAATTCCAGAACATTTAGTGAGTTTTAGTAGGTTTTTTTTCTAGGTATTTCATGTAAATGTTCAAGTTCTTAGACAAAGTTGTTAACAGTATCTCTTACCTTCTAATGTACACAGAACTGAAGTCATGTTCCTTTTCATATTTCTAGTTAGTATTTAGTATTTTTATAATCATCTTCAGTTAAATTGTCCAATTTTAGTTATCAATTTGAAGACCCAACTTTTGGCTCATTTTATCCTTGTTTTAATATCATAATATTTTATTATTTTAATAATTTTCTTCCTTTTACTTTCTTTGGGTTTACTATGAAGGGGTTAATTCCAATAACTTGAGATAAATTCTTAGTTCATTAATTTTCAATCTTTTTCTCTCATATTTGCATTTAAAGTTAAAAATTTCCCTCTAATTATAACTTTAGCTGTAGTCCCAAAGCTTTAGCTTATAGAATGTGATTTACTTCAGAATATTTCCTAATTTCCATTATCTCTTCTTTAACCTGAGTTATTTAGAAATATATTTTATTATTTCTATGCATGTGTATTTCTCCTTGAAAATCTGTCAATTTTAAATTCCTATAGTTAACATCATGTTATTAGCCACATGCAAATTTAAATTTGTATTCGTAATAAAGCAAACATTTCATCACTATAAAACAACTTAATGCTTTTTTCTTTTTAAGTCAACATTTTTCCAATATTTAATTTCACTTTCTTGTACTTTTCTACCAATTTTAAACCTTGACATATTGTTTTATATATATCTCTTGTAAACCAGCTTACAATCTATCCTGACAATGTTACCTTTTAAATGGAGCTTTTAGTAGTATCATTGCAGGTAATATGACTAATATATTTAGTTTTAAATCTACAATCTTATTCCAAATTTGTATTTGCATACCTACTGTATCTACCAACATCTCCTTCTTTTGGGTTGAATATTTATTTTTTCCTCTTCTACTACTTTGGAAGTTAAAAAGCCAACTTTTCTTATTCTACTGATGATCTTAGAAATAACAGCATACATCCAAATGTCCTGGTAAGTCAATACAGACCTTTCTCTTAGACAAAACAAGGACCTTAAAAGACTCTACCTCATTTATGCCCTACTCACGTTAGATGCTATTACTATATGCTTTAGCTCTATTTTTAAATTCCAATAAATTGCTGATTTATACAAACATTTACCACTTTCTTTGCTCTTTATTCCTTCTATATGTCAGATTTCTCATTTTGGCATCATCCTCCTTTTGCCTAAATATCTGTCAGGACTCCCTTCAATGTTGCTTCATTGAAAATAGCTTTATTTTACCTCACTTTTGAAAGATATTGATAGGTAAAGAATTTTAGGTTGACAAATACCGTTTTGATACAATAAGGATATCACTCCTACTGGCTTCCATTGTTGTTGATAAGTCATCTGTCCATCTAATTGTCACTCTTTTAAAGGTAGTATATTGGCCAGTTGTGGTAGCTCACCCCTGCAATCATAGCACTTTGGGAGGCCAAGGCAGAAGGATTGTTTGAGGTCAGGTGTTTGAGGCCATCCTAAGCAGCACCAGTGAGGCCCTGTCTCTACAAAAAGTAAATTAGCCAGGTGTGGCAGCATGCGCTTGTACTCCCAGCTACTAGGAAGTCAGAGGCAGGAGGATCACTTGAGCTGAAGAAGTTGAGGCTGCAGTGAGCAGTGATCACACCATTATACTCCAGACTAGGTGACAGAGTGAGACCTTCTCTCAAAAAAAAATAAAGTAACATATTTTTCTGTCTGATGTTATAAATTTCTTTGTCTTTGGTCTTCTGTGATTCCACTGTGATGTATCTGGGTGTGTTTTTTTCTCTTTATTTACCCTATGTGGGTTCATTGAATTTATCTGATTAGCTTTCATTAACATTCAAAATTTTTCATTTTTTTCTTCAAATGTTTTCATTGTTCCACTTTGTAACTATAATTAGAAGTATATCAGACATCCTCTCTATTCTTCATGTCTCTTAACCACTCTTTCATGTTTTCCATTTTTCTTTGTATTATAATACGCACAATAGATCTTATTGAAAATTAGCCTACTATATCATTACGCAGCAATCATAAGATGCATTTAGCTATTGCATCATTTAATCTGTAAATTTCTTCAGCTTCGTTTAATCTGTAAGAGTTCCTGAGATTATACATTTATAATCTTGATATTTTTAAAGACTATAGGCCAGTTATTTAGGTTTGTCTGATATAACACAGTTTATTTCCTTTTGCGGGGGGAGGGTCTTACTCTGTTGCCGAGGCTCCAGGCAGTGGTGCAAAATCCTGAGCTCAAGTGATTATCCCATCTCAGCCTCTCAAGTAGCTGTGACCAAAGGTCTGCCATCACCACACATTAGTAATCCTGTTTGTTTTTTGTAAAGACAAGGTCTCTATGTTACCTGATCGTGAACTCCTGGGTTGAAGAGAGCCTCCCACCTACACCTCCCAAATTCCTGGGGTTACAGGCATGAGCCACCACACCCAGACTATTTTTGTTCTTTCAAGGCATCATATTGGTGGCACATGGTATTAATCTGTCCTATTACTAGTTAACTTTGATTATGTGGTTAAGGTAGTACCTGCTACATTTTCTGTACTATAAAGTGATTATTTTCCTTTTTATAATTGATAAATACCATGCAAAGATTTTAGCAAACTATGTAAATATGCTGTTCTTCATCAGTTTTGTCCACGACTTTAAGCATTCATTGAGGATTCTTGCCTGAAACAATGACCATGGAAGTTATAAAATGGTGATTTTCTAATTCCATCATGACTCTACATTTTTTAGGAAAAGCTTTCCTTTTCCCAATTTGTATCAGCAGGGACTCAAAGATTCTTAACAGATTACAATCCTCTACTATTTTGTAGCTCAAATTTCCTAGGTTTAGCCTATATACCTTAAGGCTGGCTCTTGTGTCCATCTGACATGTACTCATCATTTTTTGAGAACTTCCCAAGATGTTTCAGGCTCATGTTTACTTTCCATGCCTCATCCTATAATCAGTCATTTACTCAAAGACTCGTTTCCTTTCACTATAGAATAGTTATTTTGAAACTAAGATATAGCTAAAATATGTATGTTGTTTTTTGTTTTTTTGTTTTAAGATGGAGTTTCGCTCTTGTTACCCAGGCTGGAGTGCAATGGCGCGATCTCGGCTCATAGCAACCTCCGCCTCCTGGGTTCAGGCAATTCTCCTGCCTCAGCCTCCTGAGTAGCTGGGATTACAGGCACGCGCCACCATGCCCAGCTAATTTTTGTATTTTTAGTAGAGACAGGGTTTTACCATGCTGACCAGGATGGTCTTGATCTCTTGACCTTGTGATTCACCTGCCTCGACCTCCCAAAGTGCTGGGATTACAGGCATGAGCCACTGCGCCCGGCTAAAATATGTATATTGTTACTCAGATATCACTGCTTGTAAGCCTACCTAGTGAAAAAGGTAGGAAATAGATGTATGCACATACACATATATATTTATATGTAGTCCTATATATTACAAAGAAATACTTCATACCATCTCAAATACTAATCCAACATATTGTGGTTCATGCTGGCATTCCTTCTTTCCATATGTATAACTCAATTTCCCAAGACAGACAAACCTGACTCCCTTTAGCCACAATGTATTTATCAATTTGTCCAGTCTAAGAATACAAATATAATAGATCTAAAATTGCTAATCCTCACATAACAATGTAAAAAACAAACCTTCTAAGTGAAACATTTACAGTTCTTTATGCTTTGTCTTTAGCCGTATAGTACAGAGTCAAAATAGCACATTCTAAAGTTACCTGGGTTAGTACTGCCAATCTTTGCAAAGAGTATTATTCTTTTAAAATACATTTAAGTTCAGTTGTTTTTGCCTTCAGACCTGGACTCCGGCTGGAAATTACACCATTGGCCTCTGGTTTGCAGGCCTGTGGACTGAGACTAGAAACTGTATCATCAGCTCCTCTGGGTCTTCAGCTTGCCAACCTCAGATTCAGGACTTCTTAGCCTCCATAACTCTGTGAGCCAATTTATTATAATAAATCTTATATATCTATATATCCTATTGGTTCTGTTTCTCCAGAGAACACACACTAATACAGAACAATACTTCAGAGTACAGATATACCATGGTTTGCTCAACCACTCTTTTTTATATGTGAAAATTTAGTTTCTACTATACTATTATAAAAACAATTCTGCAATAAATAAACTTATGCATATGCATTTTAATTCTGGAAAGTACACATTTAGGGTAAATGCCTGGAAGTGGGATTGCTAGGGTCAAAGTTATAAAATCCTTGGCTCACACTTTTTCATTGAGTCATTTTAAATGCTCCATTGATATCTTGCTTTAAGCTGATTTCAAGAAGTCTAGCACCAATAAAATTATATTGCTCTTATAAGTTATTTGGTCTTTGTTCCTAGAGAACTTGGAGACGTTTTATGTTAAAAGTCAAACAGTTTTAGTAAGACATGTCTTAGGGTGGATTGCTTGGGGTTAATCTTTCAAATTATCCAGTAGGCCCTTTCAATATGTAGATTTAGATCTTTTATTTCTGGGAAGTTTCCTTTGATTATAGTTTTTAATAGTAGCTATATCCCATTGTTGTTTTCTTTTCTAGGGATTGCATTTATATACATGGTTATTTTGTCTCTGCCTATCTTCCATCTCAACCATTTTCTCACAAACTCTTTATATTTATCTCATTTTTATTCCCTTAGTTGTTTTTCAACCTTTCTTCTATACGCCTTATTAAATTTTCATTTAAGTCCATTCTCCCTTAGTCATCTTGTAATTTAGTCAATTCTGATATAATGTTCCTCTTCCTATTTCTTTCTTGCATTCAATGTACTCTTTCCATCCATCTTGGTTTTCTGTCCATTTGTTTTTAACATTTGAATATCTTATTCAAGGTGTTTTCTATACCCCCAGATGCAGTTTGAACAGACAAACTAATTCAATCTGCAGTGTTGTCGCTGTCTTCTTTCTGCTTTATAGTTGTTTCTGGGGGAGAGGGTACCATCAACTAAAGCATATCAAATCTGTTTTCTTCTAGTAACTTATAAAGGTCTAGTTTTATTCTGTTCATTTTGTAGATTAGGACTAGCTTAAAAGATTCTTAATTCAGGGGCACCTTCTTTTGACAATGTACCAAAGTCCCATTTCTTGCCAAATTTCCTTTCCTTTTTTTTGTTTTTTGGTGTTGGAAGTGGGTATGAGTCCTTCGATTTATTCTTTTTTTTGGTGATGGTGTTTTAAGTCCCTAAATTTTCTGCTTTCTCTTCTGGACCCCTTCATCACCCAATCACCAACAGGTACCATGACTCACTTTTGCCTTTTTACTCCACAGAAACTCCATGTTGTATGGACACTTTTATGCTTCTTTCATATCATAAGTTCTCTGATCTATAAGAAAACTTTTGGCCGGGCGCGGTGGCTCAAGCCTGTAATCCCAGCACTTTGGGAGGCCGAGGCAGGTGGATCACGAGGTCAAGATATCGAGACCATCCTGGTCAACATGGTGAAACCCCGTCTCTACTAAAGATACAAAAATTAGCTGGGCATGGTGGCACATGCCTGTAATCCCAGCTACTCAGGAGGCTGAGGCAGGAGAATTGCCTGAACCCAGGAGGTGGAGGTTGCGGTGAGCCGAGATCGCGCCATTGCACTCCAGCCTGGGTAACAAGAGTGAAACTCCGTCTCAAAAAAAAAAAAAAGAAAACTTTTTCAGTACCTTCAAATTCTGGCAATGATTTTAAAGCAGTTCTATAACCACTGCTAGTTCTCTTCTCTGAGTAGTTTTTCTCAGAATGTCGTGCCTTGTTAGAAAGGCCTTTGGTAAGAGCTTAAGTGGTTTTCTGTTTTTAAAATTGACAGTACTAAGGATACCTATTTGCAGTTATATAATATGAATGTTTTTGTATACAGCTGACATTTGAACACGGGTTTGAAATGGATGGGTGAGCTTATACATAAATTTTCCTCCATCTCTTCCACCCCTAAGACAGCAAGACTGTCCTCCTCTTCTGTCCCCTCCTCTTCTTCCTCCTCCTTAGCCTCCTCAACATGAAGATGAGGATGAAGACCTTTTTATGGTGACCTACTTCCACTTAATTAATAAGAAGTAAAGATTATCTTATGTCTTAATGTTTTATTTCTTCTAGTTTATTTTACCATAAGAATACAGTATATAATATAATACATATAACACACAAAATACGTGTCAATTGTTTCTTTATGTTATTGCTAAGGACTGCAGTCAACAGTAGGCTACTAATGGTTAAGTTCTGGGGAAGTCAAAAGTTACATGAAGCTTTCTGACTGCATCGGCGGGGGGCGGGGTCATCACCCCTAACCCTCACATTGTTCAAGAGTCAACAGTAGATATATTTGATTTTGCTTTTCCATATATTGTTGGAAGGTTATGTAGAAATATGTGCGTTTAGGCATCCATCTACTGTTCTTGGCTACCCAGAATTCAACGGCTTGAAATTTTTTTCTTTTTTCAAGACAGTGTCTTGCTATGTCATCCAGGCTGCAGTAAAGTGACACAATCTTGGCTCACTGTAGCCTCAATATCCTGGGCTCAGTGGCTTCAAATCTTCAGGTAACATGAACTCAGTCTGTAAACCCACATAAGGACTAGAATACAATAAAAAATACACAGAAGCAATTTCAAGCTTCTGAAAAGCACCACAGTTAAAGATACTCAATTTTCCTTAAAAATCCAGTTTAGTTTCTAGTTCATCTTTCTGAAAGACCAGTTTTATGGATAACTGGTGTAGTTGTAGGCTACCAACTTGATCAATTCTGAACTTTATTTTCTTTTCTTGTACCTTATAATGCCTGAAAGCCAAAGTTCAAGTTTATACAATTCAGCAACTGCCTCTAGGTTATAAAAAAAAATTTTTACTCAATAATAAGCAAAAATACACTTATTTTTTATATTATTTTATATAAGTTTATACTTATTTGCTGCTAAAATAACTCAAAATAAATACCATACATGTAAACCTATAAAGATAGAGTTGTTACTAAAAAAAAGACAGCAGGCTAGGCCTGGTGGCTCATACCTGTAATCCTAGCACTTTGGAAGGCCAAGGCAGGTGGATTGCTTGAGGTCAGAAGTTCAAGACCAGCCTGGGAAACATGGTAAAATGCCCTCTCTACTAAAAATTAAAAAATTAACTGGCCACAGTGGTGCATGCCTGTAATCCTAGCTACTCAGGAGACTAAGGCATGAAAATTCTTGAACCTGGGAGGCAAAGGTTGTAGTGACCTGCGATTGTGCAGAGGCAGAGGTTGTAGTGAGCACTCCAGCCTGGGTGACGGAACAAGACTCTGTCTCAAAAAAACAAAACAAAAAACAAAAAACAAAAAGATAGCACCACCCAAACCCCAAATTATAGAAAACTGAAAAATTTTTAAATCCATGAAAAACCAAAAGTACCTTTTCATATAACATACACCATTTTTAATGTTGTTTTACAACAGACTGTTTTACTTACTTCTGCCTAGGGGTACTTCCCTTTTTCAATAACCTAAAGCATTTGAAATAAAATAAAGCCTTGATCTGAAGACATGACTGAAAATGAAGTGAAAGTTTCTCATCTTCCCCTTTGTGCTTCTCTTCCTCCCTCCTTGAAATAAGATGCTATAAACTTGAGTAATAGAATAGTTTTACTGCTTGACAGTTCTTCTAAATCTGCCATATTTCTTGACCAAAATGTTTTCTAAGTTACTAATGCATATTAAATACCTTAGCCTAAAAGATTTCTGATAGAACAACAACAAAACTTGAAAAAATAAGCATCAAAACTTGCACTACTCTTAGATTTTTCCTATTACTAACTTGAGGCAAAATATAATTAGGGTTGAAAAGTAAGTAGGCATTCAGTACTCAGTTACTGCTCTATTTGGTGGTTATTATTGCCTAATTATAAAAAAGGAAGTTAAAATTTTTCTCAGTCAAAACCACTGGATTAAATCAATATAAATGCTAGTCACAATAACTAACACATCAATTTTCCAACTTACTTCTGAGAGAGACCATTTACTTCTGTGGTCTAGAAGATGAATAAGTAGAACCCATAATTCTTTAATGCATGAACATGGACAGTGGTGACTCATTAATGATTCAGAGGGCCTAACCTATAGAAAAGAACCAAAATGTGTTCATTATAAGACAGCAACAGTATTTTAAATGCCACATAGCTTCCAAATAATTTTAACAGAATGATTTAGATGACTTTAAATTTCTCAAATAAAATTATTTATTGAAAATGTGCCACTTCATTTAACTTTTAAGATAAATTTCCATTTTAAAACCAAAAGTATAGAATAAATTAGATTTCAATGTAAAAAACCATTTAAATCATCTAGACCAGTGGTCAGCAAACTTTTTCTATAAAGGGCTACATAGGACATATTTAAGAGTTTGTTGGCAATACAGTCTGTGTCACAACTACTGAACTCTGTCATTTCAGTACAACAGTTGCAGATAACACCTAAGATAAATGGACGGGATTATAGTCCAATAAAACTATATTCACAAAAATAGATGGGCTAGATTATACCTCAGGGCTAGTTTGCTTATCTTGACCTAAGTTATCTACAACAACAAAAGGCTTCTAATAAAAAGATTAGAAAATAAATTTTGATTCACTGTAAAACAGAGGAAAAAATTCACAGGACAGAATAAATAGTTATTAGGGTTTCATAAAGATTAAGTAATTTCTAAATTTTTACTTTTTAACAAAAAAATCCTGATAATGCACAGAATATACATGATATTTACAAATACAGCCAGGAGGCTTCTTAAATTCATAAGGTATATAATATTTTACATAAGTTATGTACACATTTCTACCCTAATACAAAGTGAAAAATAAGAAGTATTAGGATTTTACTAAAAATCGTAGCCACAGCAATTAAGCAAAAGAAATAAAAGTCATCTAAACGAAAAGAAATAAGCTAAGATTGTTGCTGTTTGTAGATAACATGATCTTACATATAGAAACCTCTAAAGACATCACCAAAAATCATTATAATAAATAAATTCAGGAAAGTTGCAGGATACCAAACCAACATAAAAAAATAACATAGCATTTCTATACAATAACAACAAACTATCCAAAAAAGAAATCAATGAAACAATCCCACATATTGTACATACCTACAAAAATAAAAATAGGGATAAATTTAACCAGAGTGAAAGGCAAGTACAATAAAAAATATAAAACTCTGATGAAATAAACTGAATACAACATGAATAAGCACAAAACTATCTTTTGTTCATAAATTGGAAGAAATATTATTAGAAGGTCCATACTACCCAAAGTGACCTACAGATTCAATGGAAGTCCCTACCAAAATACTTAATGACACTTTCATAGAAATAGAAAAAACAATCCTAAAATTGGCAGGAAATCACAAAAGGTCCTGAATAGACCATTAGTAAAAAGAACAAAGCTCGAGGGATTGACACTACCTGACTTCAAAATATACTACAAAGTTATAGTAATCAAAACAGTGTGGTGCTAGCATACAAACAGACACAGAACAAAATAAAAGAGAGTAGAGAGCTCAAACATAAATGTAGGCATTTATGGTAAACAAAATTTTAACAAAGATGAATAGAGCATGCCATAGGGAAAGAACAGTTTCTTCAATAAACAGTTTGAGACAACTGGATATCCACCCGCAGAATGAATTTAGGCCCTTAATTCACACCACATAGAAGAATCAACTCAAAATAAGTTAAAGACTTAAATGTAAGACCTGAAACTGTAGAACTAGAAGAAAACATGAGGGAAAAGCTAAACGACAGTGGTCTGGCAAATGATTTTTTAGGTATAACTCCAAAAGCAGAGGCCACAAAAATGAAAACAGATGTTTGTTTTCTGCACAGAAAAACATCTGTGCACAGAAAAAAAAAATGGAATGAAGAAAAACCTGCAGAATGGAAGAAAATATTTGTAAACCATATATCTGATAAGGGGTTAGTATCTTAAATATATAAGGAACTCAAATAACTCAACAGCAAGAAAACAAATAACCCAATTACAAAATGGACAAAAAATATAAATAGAAATTTCTTAAAAGAAGACATACAAATGGCCAAGCAGCATATGAAAAATGCTCACTGGCTGGGCGCGGTGGCTCACGCCTATAATCCCAGCACTTTGGGAGGCCGAGGCAGGTGGATCACGAGGTCAAGAGATCAAGACTATCCTGGTCAACAAGGTGAAACCCCGTCTCTCCTAAAAATACAAAAATTAGCTGGGCATTGTGGCGCATGCCTGTAATCCCAGCTACTCGGGGGGGTGAGGCAGGAGAACTGCTTGAACCCAGAAGGTGGAGGTTGCGGTGAGCCGAGATCGTGCCATTGCACTCCAGTCTGGGTAACAACAGCGAAACTCCGTCTCAAAAAAAAAAAAAAGAAAAAGAAAGAAAAATGCTCACTAATAATTATGAAAATGCAAATTACAACTTGATAAGATATCACCTCACACCTGTTATAATGGCTGTCACCAAAAATACAAAGGATAACAAGTGCTGGAGAGGATGTGGTGACAAGAAAACCCTTGCACATTTTGGTGAGAATATAAACTGGTAGAGCCATCATGTAATATAGTATGCAAGCTGATTTACATAAAATTAAAAATAGAACTACCACATGATCCAGCAATCCTACTAGGTACATTTGCAAAGAAAATGAAATTATTATGTTGAAGAGATATCTGCATTCCCAGGTTCACTGCAGCATTATTTACAATAGCCAAGACATGGAATGAACCAAATTGTCCATCAACAGATGAATGCATAAAGAAAATGTGGTTTATATACACAGTGGAATACAGTCATGTGTCACTTAACAGCAGGACACGTTCTGAGAAGTGTATCTTCATGCTAACATGATTTATTGTACTTAAACCTACTACTGCACACCTACGCAATGTGGTATAGCCACCTTGTATATGTGGTCTATCACTGACTGAAACTTTGTTCCACAGTGCATGACCCTACTATTCAGCCTTGAGAAGAAGGAAATCCTGTCATCTGCAACAATATGGATGAACCTGGAGGACATTATGTTAAGTAAGCCAGGCACAGAAGACAAATAACACATAATCTCATTTATATGTGGAATCTAAAAAAGCTGAACTCATGGAAGCAGAGTAGAATGATCCTTACCAAGGGGTGTGAGGAGGATTAGGAGGGAGGCAGGGGAGATGTTGGTCAAAGCATACAAAATTTCAGTTAGATAAGAGGAATAAACTCAACATGGTGACTATGGTTAAAAACAATGTACCATATGGTATTCTTGAAAATCAGTAAGAGTAGATTTAAAGTGTTCTCACACACAAAAAGGTAAGAATGTGAAACAATACATAGGCTAATTAGCTCTATTTAGCCATTCCACAATGTATACACATATCAAAACATGATGTATATGATAAATATATACAATTTTGTCAATTATCAAAAATAAATGAATAAATGTTTAAAAGACATCAGTCTATCACATATGGTTAACCCACTAATATACATACACACTAAATTTTAAAAATATTGATAATCAATGTATGAAAAAATCTAAACTTTGAAAAATTTTAAAAATCATTTTCCCTAAATCTTGATTTCCCAAAAACAGTCTTTGTGCTTGTAAATCTGAAACAGAAAATAATCTAAACATTTCCACCACTTAAAAACGAACATGTTCTGTAGCACCTTTAAGTCACTGTCTCCATTAAATACTCTATGATAAACACAATCTAATCTAAATACATAATTTCACCCATGATACTAGACCTTCTATGAAAACAAGGAACAAAATCCTCTCTTAAAATCTGTCAAAGAACTTTAAGTGCTTATTTTATTATTATATAACAAGAATACAATAATTTATTAAAGAGCTGGCCTCTACCATTTAGGTAGAAATTAAGTTTTCGATTATAGTAAACATCATTTTTATCTATTTATTTTTGTTAAACTAGAAAAGGCTATTTTTCTTTAAAAAAAAAAAAAAGAAAAGCTCGAAAATACCAACTTCAGTCTGTTCTAAATGTTTAAATAAAAACTATTTTCCCTTTAAGCTCCCAGATAATAGCAACTAAATATAAAATTAAAACATATAATCATTTTAGACAAAATTCTTATAGATTAAATGACATAGATTAAGGACAGAATATTGTCTAAGTCTCAAAAATACAAATAAACTCTTAAAGCATTACCTTGTCATACCTGTTGAGTGACAGGCTTATTAAATTGCAAAGGAGAGTTTCACAATGTTCTTCAAATAGACTGACATTGGTAAAATTGTCACTTGCCAGATTCATAAACTGATGACCATATACAACTTGTTCTGAAAATGCAATAGAATAGTTTTAAAGTATAGTAGATTTTACTAGATCAGAAATGAAAAAGTGACTGTACATCTTTAAATTATAACAAAACTAAAACAGTTAAATTTTTTTTTTTGCAAATAAAATTTGAACTTGAGGACAACTTTCTTATATGAGCACTGATAACATTATCTTCATAAGTTTCTAATTCTTCCAAGTAAAATCTAATAAACTTCTTTTCCTAATAAGTCTTTCTTTGAAAATCATTAATGCAACACAACTTAAAAAAGAGAGAGAGAACATAAAATTTTCATCCACATTTCTAACCACAAAGCCTTTAAAACATTTTTCTTTTAACCAATACTGATAAACTGACCCCATGCAATTGTTTTGTGGAATAAAATAGAGCAAACTAAGGTAATAGATAACCAAAATGTATACCTATATCAGAATAAGTCCACTTGAGTATTACTCTAAGAAAACAGTAATGTGAAATTCAGACTCCACATGAGAGAGGAAATTATATACTTGTGTACATCTTTGTATTTTTCTATGTATGGATATATATAAGTATATGTATTTATTAACTGAAAAGCAGGTGTTGAAGTAATAGACATCTTTACAACCTAAATGATAGGTTGGCAATGGAACCTAAGCAAGATCAAGAAATAAATAGGCACCATAGCCATAAGCATAAAGGATATTTATCTACAATATATATATACTGTTACTAAAAAAAGAAAATTTGCAAAATATAATGAATAATCAATAAAGCAAATACAAACAATAAAATGTAAAGATGTTCAACTTTACTAGTAACCAAGAAATTGCAAGATAAAAACAATCAATTTCATTTTTCACATATTAGTTGGCAAAAAATAAAACATAATTGACAGTATCAACTACTGGCAAGAGTATGAAGTAAAGGCATACCAACAGTTACGTCTATAGATCAGTAGGACTTACTGTTCAGCAAAACAGCAGCATATACATATTAAAACTGCAGTGTGCCACTCTATTTCTAAGAATATTAGAGTAAAGATACATATATATCCACAAGTGAATTCAGTGAAAAATTGTACACAGATTAAAGATACATATATATACACAAGTGAATTCAGTGAAAAATTATTTGTAATATCAAAAAAATGAAAGTATCTTAAATGTTTAAAATAGACATTGCCAAACATAGTAGAACATGCAGAGTTTAAATGGATAAATATAGGCAGTAACATAAACAAATCTCTAAATCAATTATAATGAAAGATCACACTGAAGAGTATGATTAGTTTCTACATAGTATACATATAAAAACAAAATTTTACCTATGAGTTTCTACATATGTATACTAACAGATAGAAAACAAATATGTAAAGATAAACCAAGCTGTTCCCAATAGTTATTTCTGGAAAAAAAGGAGTAAAACTTTGACTACTTTGTTTACTATTTGATTGTTTTAAAAAAATCCGAAAGCATTTATTACTTATGTAAGTTTAAAAGGCAATAAAAGCTGATTTTAAAAGGGATATAAATCATAAATCCATAAACTTACTTAATTTTTCACCCAGCATGTAGAGAATTTCTAGCACCAGCCAATGTATATCCAAGTGGAGATGTAATAAATGCCATGATGGTGGAAAAAGCTGTGGATAACATTATCAACTGTGATTGAGAATTCATTATTATTTTACTAGGTATTTCATAGCATGTCACATAATACTCCCGCATAAACACAAGGATAAAGAACCAGTTAATCTACCACTATTCAAAAGCTCAGGGAAAACCTCTGTCTTGTTCATTAGAGGATTATTTCACTGAAGATCTTTGAAAGCAGGAATTATTTTCATAATTCCTGTTGGTTTAAGACAGACCCATCACCTTGGGGCTGCTGAATAGACTTGTATACTAAAGGTACCTTCCAACCAACCTTTGACTCTACTATAGCTGCAAGGCAGTAAAAGAATTTTTTTAAATATGTGTTTTTATAATTTTGTCTTAGAATTTAGCTAGGAAAATTTTTTAATGTATGAATGACCAGAAACTCCTATAAAATATTTTAACAAAAGAACTTTAGACTACAATGTAGACATTACTGTATCCTATTAAGACACAGAAGTTAAGGCTGGGCACAGTGGCTCATGCCTGTAATCCCAACACTTTGGGAGGTCGAGGTGGGTGGATCACCTTGAGGTCAGGTGTTCGAGACCAGCCTGGCCAACATGGTGAAACCCTATTTCTACTAAAAAAAACAAAAATTAGCTGGGCGTGGTGTTGTGCACCTATAATTCCAGCTACTAGGGAGGCTGAGGCAGGAAAATCACTTGAACCAGGGAGGTGGAGGTTACAGTGAGCCAAGATCACGCCATTGCAGTACAGCTTGGGCAACAAGAGCAAAACTCCACCTCGAAATAAAAAAAGGAAAAGAAAAGAAAAGAAAGAAACACAAGTTAAAAGAGGTGAAAAAATTTACCGCTCAATTCATGTATTAAGATGCAAACTCAATTCTGAGTCAAAACCCAGCACTTTCAAGTACTGTATTTTACTGGGTTATCAATAACCATCCTCAAGTCAGCATTTAGCATCACTATAAAAAGAAATACAATCACATAACAGGTTCCATTAAAGCATATATAAAGAATGATGTAGAGTAGACTTGCCTTAGGTATACACAAAATAAAATGCTACACTGACAAAACCGTATTGGGACAGGAATAGATAACAAACAGCAAGAACAGAGAAGACAGAAATGAATATATGTGTACCATCTCAAATCAATGGGAAAAGTATGGGTCATTCAATACACAATAAGATTATTAACTTATCTATTTGCAAGAAACTTAAGTTAGACTTTTCACCTCACTGCGTATTTAAAAATAACATGAATTAAAGAAATAAAAGCAACAATCAACATATTTTAACAGCATAGATGATAATGTGAAAAATATAATTATCTAAAACATTCAAATATACCTAGAAAGTCAGTTTAGTTAATGAAAAAATAAAATATTTGCAACACATAATTCCCACCAAATAATGTATATCTAGAGAGTTCCTAAAAAATAAAAAGAAGCTCAACTGGAAATAACTATTAAAACAAGACATTTCATAAACAAGATTGTTATAAAATAACAAATGTAAAAATAGCCTTGAAAGATGCTTTTAATTATGCTTTTTTCTTTCAGAAAAGAATAGTATTTTAGTGTGTGATTTTTTTTGAACACTGTAAAGTTCCTCTGCTTTAAAAATTTAGTCTTCTGAGCTTCAAATAACCTATCTTTTCAAGTCTGCCTAATTAAAAAGTCTATGAAAGGCAAAATCTAGTTTGAGGACCCTTGTGCACAAATTTTTATTTCTGCTGCTATATATATTTTTTTATTTTAGACAATAATTTAACAGGCCAGATGCAAATTTAATTATCAGAAACTTTTTGCCATAGTGAAAAGCAAAAAAAAAAAAAAAATCAGCATATTTTTTATCCACGTTTATTCTGAATAAACTCAATTCAATGTGACATGTCTAAAACTAAGCTTATTATTTCCCCTCATTTTTTTTCTCTTAGGTACTTGATGGATAACTAGAAAATAAAAACCAGTCCAATTTACAGAAACTAGTGAGGAAAATATCCCTCCCTCAACAATGTACTTATGAATCTTTTTATTTAAATGACATAATTAGAAGCAATTATCTATTTGTTTTCTATAGATTAGCTATATTAACTTGTAAATTCAGTTAGAACTTCATTTGCTTTAATTATTACATATACTGATCTCTGATGAAAAAGTCAACTTGTTTCTACTAAATTTCACAGAAGTATGTAAACATTTAATTGTATTTATTCTAATTTATTTCTTGAAATAAGGTCTTGCTCTGTTGTCCAGGCTAAAATGCAGTGGTGCAATCATGAATCACCAGACCCTTGGTCTCCTGAGCTCAAGTGATCTTCCCACCTCAACCTTCTAAGCAGCTGGGCTACAGGTATGCGCCACCACACTGGCCTAATTTTTTGTAGAGATGGGGTCTTGCTATGTTGTCCAGCTGGTCTTAAATTCCTAGATTCAAGCAATCCTCTCACCTCAGCCTCCGAGAGTGTTAGGATTACAGGCATGAGCTACCATGTCAGCTGTACTTTATATTTTAACAAAGATATGTTCATAAAAAGTGTTATTCAAAATGGTAAAGTCAAATATAATGAAAGGAGTTGAGACTTTAGGGAATCTTACTGTGAATTATCCTAATTTGTTACTCATACTCATATAAGCTCCCATTTTCATAAGGAGAATCTATTACTTATCTATAAGCTGGGCATGGTAACAATACAAATTTTTAAAAACCAAACTTCAGAGGGAATGATTATCACAGGTAGGAAAAAAAGGGCACAGTCAAAACAATCTTAATGACATTTCAAATAGGCCTCAAAAGTCAGAACACATAAAGATGTGGTCTTGAAAGTTTTTTTTATAAATTAATCTTCTTGAATCTTACTGTAATATATGATAAAAAATTTTTTAATATAAAGCTTATTTCATTTGCTTTAAAACTTTTAGACATTTATACTGTCATAAATCAAGAGAACAGCTACTGATTCAACAAATACTATATTTTAATAACTTCATGTATATGAATTTATTTAATTCTTCCAATGATTTTAGTAAGTTACAAGAATTACACAGATGGGGAGGCTGAGGCAAGAGATGCCATTTGCCCAAAAGCACATAATTAATAAAAGGAGGATGGGGGGCAAGAATTTCAATTCAGGCAGTCAGGTTCCAGAGCTGTAATTTTGACTGATTTCTCTCCTTTTTGAATGAATAGTCCTTGTGGGGAGAAAAAGCTGATAATTTAAAAATTAAACAAGTCAAACCTTTATCTGGTTTTGATTTACAAATGCTCCTATATTAATACTGGGAAGTTCAGAAAGATGTCCAATATATAAGAGTAATCCATGAAGCTCATCAATCAATACTGAGGGAATTTGAGCCTCCAAAGTCTCATAAGGATGGACAGGATCATGACTGTTCCCATTGTGTACTTTCAGATACCTAAAAAAATAATTAAATAAAATAAACAACCAGAGTCTGTATGAATACACACACAGAAATTCATGTAGTGATCAAAATACTCATCTGATATCAGACCTGAAGATAAAAACTTTAACATAATGGAGAAATAATACACACTGCTGTCTAATACTGTCTGCTTCACAGTGTAGAGTTGATACCTTCCCTGAAACCAAAATAGACAATGTTAATCATAGTTTAAATGATTATCACTGGCAGTGACAAAAAATGTAAGCCATACCAGCAGCAATTCTCTATCTTGTAACACTTATATCAAACCTTCTCATGCGGTCTTGCCTCCAACTACTCCTCAAAAAACTGTCTTATTAAAGTCACCAATCAAACCCACATTGCCCAATCTAATAGACAGTGCCTACCTTCAAGTAACTTGTGGGAGCAAGTTACTTGAAGGTATAGCACCGGCTATACCTGGCTTCATGGTGCAACATACCGACAGTCTTCTTTCTTACTCATGTGTCCTTTGTCCTACCTCTGTTTTTTGGCTCCTCCTCCTCAATTCTATTATTAATATGGTCTCTTCAGGACTCAGTCCTGAATCCTCTACTCTCTATATATCTCTCCCCATATGTATGATCTTACCAATTACTTTATTAATAAAAGACTCTAAAAGGGTTATCTACAACCCACATCTCTCCTTTGCACTCCAGACCTTGCATGTTAAACTGCTTAACACCTATACAAATAGTAAATAGTGCAAATAGTAAATCCTTTAATTTCATCCAAAACCTGTTCATGCTGCCCATGTTTTCAGCATTTCCTTAAATGGTGCCACCAGTAGCTTATGTAGTTTTTGATTCTTTCATTTCCTTTAACCTCATATTTAATCCTTCAGAGACCTATTATATTTATAACCAAATATCAAATGAAACTACCCATTTTCCCTGTAATCACTTAAACCACTGCAATAGGACTGTTAACAGGTCTTCCCATGCTCTCTTGTGTCCACCTATACTCTAAGTAAAAAATCTGCTTAAAATGTTTATCAATTTCTCTTATTCCCAAGTCAAAACCTTGAAAGACTACCTACTATACGTAGAATAAAAGCAAAACTCCTAATAATGAATTATAAAACTCTGAATGACCTTTTAATAGTTGCTTTCTCCCAACCTCACTCAAAGTCAGCTTTCCCTCACTCCAGCATTTACAACAGCAATAATTATCTAGGTAGTTACTATGGGCAAAACACTGATAACCATTTTAGAGAAAATGAGTAAGAGAGAATCTAGTAAACAAAAACAGAGAAAACATAATGAGAATTATAGGCTACAAATTTGTACCCATACTAAACATAAAACCAAAGTTTAATTCAAATGAACAATCATGGCCACAACTTTGGCAGAACAGACGCATAAATGTAAAGTTGTACAAACACCTCCACATTAAACTGCACTTTTATGGCTTTATTTCACCCATAAAAAGTCCTATCATCCCAATTTTCACAATTCTCAGCCCATAGAGGCAGTACTCTCTTAAAAATAACTGCAATGAACATCTGCATCCAGGCACACTGGAATAAAATAATCAGATTGCTCCATCTCCCACTGTAAAACTGAAAACCAGAAAAAGCAAGTTTTCAGGCTATGACACAAGACAATATAAGATTGCTCTACCAGAGACAAAATAAGCCTTCCAACTGCACCAGCTCCCCACCTAGAGACAGTTTCCAGGCTGCAATATGAGGAAGAGAATACAAATAGAGCCCAACTCACTGAGATGAGGAGATACAGGATCCAAGTTCAAGGTAGTCCAAATTGAAGGGCAAAAGTGCCCAAGAAGAAAGAAGCTATACAAAATAAGAGTTCTGGAAGGGTACAGAAGGTCCTTCTTGAGATCCAAGTACTGATCTGTTCAAGCATGAAAAAAAATTACCCAAGGCCAGGGAAAAACACCAAAAAAAAAATTCCCTATAAAGAGTACACAGGCCAGGGAATAGTTCACATTCTAGCTAGCAAGCATGAAAAAAATTTCATGATAGCCAAGGAATGAGAAAGAATTCTCAAAAGCCTTATTAGGTTAATTTACTGGGCTAAATTAACATTAAAGGCTGCTTTTTAAAAGTCCTACCAAAATTTAAAACAAGCCTCAAAGAGCCACTGGATTACAACTACACAATAACGAGCCAGAACAAAATCCAACGTCTAGTTTAAGGAATACAAAAAAATCTAGAAAGCAACAATGTGAAACCCATAATGTTCATCTCAGAATATTACCACATGTTCAAAGAAGCAGAAAAATATATCAGAGAACCAGGAGAAAAACTAATCAATACAAATAGATGCAGAAATGCAGTGATAAAAGAATTATTAATAGCAACAAAGTTAAAAGCAGTGGTTATAATGTATACTCCATATATTCAAGATGGAAGAAAACAAGCATCAGGACAGAAATGGAAGACATTCAAAAAAAATCCATAAGGAATGTCTAGAGACAAAAAACCATACACTGTATCTAAGAGAGGGTAACACCAACAACTGTAAGCAGAAAGCAGAAAAGAAAATCAAGACAGCCTGAGGTCTGGCACTTTTGAGTTCTCATTTAAATTCTCCATCCCACTCCCTACCTCCAAAACAAGTACCAATTATATTCAGAGAAGTTTAGCTTCCTTAAGTCAGTTTTACCTTTAAAATCTACAGATTTGAGAAAACACTGTATATCAGCCACAACAAAAATTTAAAAGTTATACTTTTTCTGAATACTAAATTCATAACTTCTGGCCTAAGGCTTCCTCCATATTATCATGATATCCCAATTATACCATCATGGACCCATGTGCAACTCACTATAGTGGAGCACCATTCCTTTTTGTCATTAAACGCATTTAAAATAAACTTACCAAAATCACAACTGGACTGTAACAAGGTTTCCAAGTTGTATAGTTGTTGCCTAATTTTAAAAACGTAAGGGAAAAGTTAATTTTAGAATACTGTAAAGCATGTAACAATTACATGGATAAAGTTTCCAAATCTACTACATGGCTTCAATACTTCTTTTATTTAGCGACGATGATTAATACTTGGCAAATGTTAATTAAAAGATCGGGCAGGAGAATTGCCTGAAACCAGGAAGGGGAGGCTGTGAAGCCGAGATCGCGCCATTGCACTCCGGCCTGGGTAACAAGATCGAAACTCCGTCTCAAAAAAAAAAAAAAAAAGATCAGCTTCGGGTAATGAAAACTTTAAGAAAAGATAAAATACATCTTTGCCTGAACTTCCAAAAGTATCTAATAAAGACTGCCTATATTTCAAAAATTATTTCAAGTACCACAGACTTCACCATCAGCAAGATAGTGTTTATATCTTTAAGAAGTTTAACGCCAGGCGCAATGGTTTACACCTGTAATTGTAGCACTTTGGGAGGCCAAAAGGGTGGATCACCTAAGGTCGAGAGTTCGAGACCAGCCTGAACAACATAGAGAAACCCCTTCTCCACTAACAACACAAAACTAGTTGGGTGTGGTGGCAGGCACCTGTAATCCCAGCTACTCAAGAGGCTGAGGCAGAGGACTCACTTAACCCAGGAGGCGGAGGTTGTGGTGAAATGAGATCTTGCCATTGCACTCCAACCTGGGCAACAAGAAGGAAACTCCGTCTCAAAAAAAAAGAAAGAAAGAAAAAGAAGTTAAGATGTGGCGCAGTGGCTCAGGCCTGTAATCCCAGCACTTAGGGAGGCCAAGGCAGATGGATGACCTGAGGTCAAGAGTTCGAAACCAGCCTAGGCAGCACAGTCAGACCCTGTCTCTAATAAAAACACACAAAAATTAGCCAGGCATGTTGGCAGGCCCGTAATCCCAGCTACCTGGGACGCTGAGGCATGAGAATCACTTAAACTCAGGAGGCGGAGGTTGCAGTGAGCTGAGATCACGCCACTGCACTCCAGCCTTGGTGACAGTGCAAGTCTCTGTCTCAGAAAAAAACGTTTAAAATACAGAAAACATTCTAGGCTAACAGTTATATAATAAAAATTCTAGGTTAACAGTTATATAATAAAAATTTAAACTGTCTCATACAGTTAAACAATGGAAGTTGAAAAAAAGGAATAATGTAGACTAAAGTTATCAGGGAAAGCTGTATTTATGATGTTCCATCTTAATTCCTGATAATAATTTCTTGCTATTCTTGCTAGTTGATTTCAAAGTCTTTAGAAACTAACCCATCTTTACATCGTATGTTCTAGGTTGAGTCGCTGATTCTGGATTCTGTAATTCAGGATTACAGAGGATCACTCACTCAGCCTGTTCTCTCATGACACGGCACAGATCCAGTTAAATCTCTTCATAAAGTTTCATGGGATGATGGTGGGAGAATTCCTTCCACCTCTCCATTTTACTTTAAATGTATCACATATAGATTTTTACTATGTTTTGGAATAATTTGCTTTCAATAATTGACTCCTATTCAAACTTACCTAAAATCTGAATCTGAATTGTCTTAAAAGATAAGGGAAAAACTTTCATTTTTATTAATTGAGGTGACACAATGTTCAAGGTTTTTTGATTGATTGTTCGATGCAGAATCTCACTCTGTCACCAAGGCTGGAGTACGGTGGGTGATCTTGGCTCACTGCAACCTCTGCCTCCGAGGTTCAAGTGATTCTCCTGCCTCAGTCTCCTGAGTAACCAGGATTACAAGCATGTACCACCACACCGGCTAATTTTTCTATTTTCAGTAGAGATGGGGTTTCAGCATGTTGGTCAGGCTGGTCTGAAACTCCTGACATCATGATACACGCTCCTTGGGCTCTCGAAGTGCTGGATTACAGGCATGAGCCACTGCACCTGGCCGAGCTCATGGTTTCTAAAAGGCCCATATTTTTAAATTCATACTGAAGTATTTATGGGTGAGATGATATGATGCCTAGAATTTGCTTAAAAATACTTAAGTCAAAAGAAAAGAAGATAAGACAGATGAAGGAAATGTAATAAAAAGTTGTTTACTATAACTGAAAGAGGGCATATGGACATTCATTATATTATTCTTTTGTGTATGTGTAAAATTTTTCATTTAAAAAATTTTTTTATGTTGTCCAAATAGAAATTAGCATTTCTATTACACAGTCTAAAAGATTTATTTAGAAAGATCATACTCTAAAGAGCACTGAAAGACTATGGCTATTGAATAACCAAAGTATTTTAATTTTCTTCCAAAATTATAGTTGAAAGCCTCAAATATTTGTCAATACATGATGTCAAATGCAAAGAATAAAAATTCTGAAAATGAAATGCAACTCATTAAAACCATTACTCATCAAGTGTTGCTGCCTGATTATTGTTACTGGTAAGATAATCAAGTGAGCAACCAGCACAATTCTCCTGGTCTTTTGTAGTATCAGTATTAGAAGCCACCCAACAATGTAGTTTACAAAAGTGAACAACACCTACACTCGCAGAAAGTTAAAAAAGAAAAAAATACCTGAATAAATGAAAGAGCTCTTTGGATGAATTCACTAATGCTGTTTCAGTAACCCACTGAATGCCAAATATTTCCGATGTATCTTCTTCAAAATTAGTTGGTAAAGGATCAAGATTCAAAATTAATCTGAAATTAAAATTATGTTTTAATCTCATAAAAAGTATATTAAGCACCATAATACAACAGCTCTTCTCTTTACATTATTCAAATCCATATTATACATGACACATATAAGAAGTCAGAAAACGCCTCCGTACTTTACACATTCAAGATTACAATAGCTAGACTGTATTAAAATGTCAATCTTCCATACTGATTAAAAGTATAACTGAAGTGCAATGTAACTTAAGAGGAAAAACTGGCCGCGCGCGGTGGCTCACGCCTGTAATCCCAGCACTAAGGAAGCTGAGGTAGGAGAATCGCTTGAACCCGGGAGGTGGAGGCTGCAGTGAGCCGAGATCGCATCATTGCACTCCAGCCTGGGAAACAGGGAGACTCTGTCTCAAAAACACAACAAAACAAAAAACACCAAGAAGGATTCTAAGAAACATATTTCTGCCTGTCTTCACCAGTTGTCTTCAGTTGCAGAATTTCATCCTAGAGGAGACATTTAATTTTTAAAACTGCTAACAGTTATTCTGAACCAAGTCTGGAGAATTGTATCCAACTAATGAAGGTGGTACTTTAAGGTCTCTAACAAGGTACAATTAAAAAGTCAACAAAAATTAATTTCCTGACTGAAACTGCCTCAGAAGGTATTACCAAAATATTTCAAGAATAGCAGTTTTACTGCAATATGTATGTACCTGCCCGATGTAAAATAAGTCTACAAGACTTCTGTATGTATAGATAGCATTAGAAGGAACAGGTCAACAAAAAATGTTTGTCTTTTGTAAAAATTACTGGAAAGCTTCAGAGTATCATCACACTCTTTGGAAGGAAATACCATTTCAAAAGGCTCATAGTTAAGAATTCACTTTAAGTAAAAGAAAACTTAGTGCCCAGCTCCCTACAGTAAGGGAACATCAGTTACCAAGGAAGTTTTCCCTAATACACAAAATACTTTTGATACGCCCTTACCAAGAAGCCAACAGCAGAACTGATATTCATTTGTACCATTATGATATACTAAGCTGATTTATAAAACATTGTTCGGCGACCACCAAAGTTTAGTGGGCTGAAATGACAACTAACATTCCTAAAAAACTGGTGAATAATCAGATGAGGGAAAAAAAGTCTGAGTTTTACCTACCGCTTAAGGGCTCCACTGTAGAGGTGGGATTCTCCAGAAAAATGTTTTCCTCCTCCTCTGTTGTCAACAGCACAAGAAAAGCAAGGAGGTTTGCACCACTCTGTCCCCAGCTCCAGCTCTAAGCTGTCAGTCAGGAACGTCGGGGAAGCAAAACAGTTCTCCATTGTTTACTTCATGTTCTGAAATGTTTGAAGTTCGTCGTATCCTTAAGGGCTCCAAAGAGAGGGTGTGAAGAGATTCCTGGAGGTGGGGGCCGACAGACTGGGGGTTACCTCACAAAGTTCCCAAGACGTCCCCCAGCACGAAGGAAAAACAAACGAAAAACCCAGACCAAATCCCCAGTTCTTCTCCCCCGCCGCTCCGCCCATCAAGGGTGTCAGAACTTAAGATAAAATGCACAATCAACTCTGGCTGTGGCAGGGACTTCGAAATCCGCCCACCAGGTCCGACTCTGCATCCCAGAACAAGGTGAAAAGGAAAGAAATGTCTGCAGGACACAGGCGTCCCGGGCTCGCCTCGAACTGCGCCCTCTGCAACGTCACTAACCCGCCCTCCGCCCGTTTCCCAGCAGCAGGATAGAGAAAGCTCCCTCGCCAGCTGGGGGTGGACACCAGGAAGGCAATCCCTAGCGCCAACCCCGACCCTCCGAGCCGCGGGCGAGACCCACCATGCTCGCGCCCGGCAGCACTCGGGTGGAGAAGGCGGGGAGACCGCATCCTGCGCACCCAGCTGCAGCCGGGACCCCGGACGTCGGTTGCCCGCGGTGCCTGGCGTACCTACTCAAACTTCCAGCCCCCGAATTCTGCCTCCTAATACCCCAACCACAACCAGGAATCTGTGGAGTCTAAACCGCAAACAGGCGAAATTCCCGCCACCGCGCGCCCGCGTACCGGAAAGGCGGAACCGCGGCGCAGCCGGTACCCGGCAACCAATCCCTTCGCGTTATCTGCGCGGAAACAGTCGGCGCTCCACGATTCTCGCGAGAGTCTGTCAACCTGGGACAAAGTACAGAAAAACTTTTTTTTTGGACCTTTAATTGGTGCGTTCGGCTGGAAGGAGGGGCCTGGCTAAAAAAAAAAAAAAAAAAAAAAAAAAAAAAAGGAACTGCTGCTGAGGCGGTGGAGAGGCGGGTTTAAGGCCTGTGGGTTTCTCTTCTGGCCCGACCGAAGGGAAGAGATTTAACTCCAGTGAGTACGAAGTGAGTGACTCGTTCACACCCACAGTCGCTCCGTCGCCTCTTCTCGCTCTAGGGCCAGCAACTCTTGTTAGAATGCAGGATACCTTTTATTGTCCATGGACTGTGAGGCAGGCAAGTGTAGCAATGAATTTTCTCTGTAACCGTTGGAACAAGTAAACAGAAAATTAGTGTGGAAATTTGGAAAGCACTACCAACCAGCTTGACCTAATTGACGTTTATAGGTGAGCAACCCAACAGTAGCAGAATACTCTCTTTCTCCCTCTCTCTCCCTCACCCCCTCTCCACACACACACCACTTCTTAGTAGCAGAATACTCTCTCTCTACACACACACTTCTTACAAGAAAACTCCAGGCCAGAGCAGGCACAGTGGTTCATGCCTTTAATCCCAGCACTTTGGGAGGCTGAGGCAAGTGGATCCCTTGAGACTAGGAGTTCCAGACCAGCATGGGAACATGGTGAAACCCTCTCCCTGGTGTCTAAAAAAATTAGCCAGGCGTGGTAGTGCTCGTCTGTAGTCGCAGCTACTTAGGCTGAGGTGGGAGGATCACTTGAGCTGGAGAGGTCAAGGCTGCAGTGAACTGTGAATGTGCCACTGTACTCCAGCCTGGGCACTCAAGCAAGACCCTGTCTCAAACACAACAAAACAAACAAACAAAACCCTCCAGGCCTAATGACATTACTGTTAAATTCTCCCAAACATTTAAGGAAGGAATAATACAAATTCTATACTAACTCGTAGAGAAAATAGAAGGAGATTGGATGCTTGTTTTATGAGGCAAGCACCACAGTAGTATCAAAACCTGGCAAAGAAAAGAAAGGACAACCACAATCTGATATCACATGCAAATATAAAGGCAGAACTGTTAGGAAGCAAAATCCAGCAGTACATAAAAAGGATGACATATGACAGCTGGGCGCAGTGACTCACGCCTGTAATCTCAGCACTTTGGGAGGCCAAGTGGGCAGATCACTTGAGGTCAGGAGTTTGAGATCAGCCTCGCCAACATGGTGAAACCCCCCGTCTCTACTAAAAATACAAAAATTAGCTGGGTGTGGCATGTGCACCTGTAATCCCAGGTACTTGGGAGGTTGAGGCAGGAGAATCGCTTGAACCCAGCATACAGAGATTGCAGTGAGTCAAGATCATGTCACTGCACTCCAGAGTGAGACTGTCTGAAAACAAACAAAAAGGATGACATATGACAAGAAAATTAGATTCATGTTAGGAATATAAGGTTATTCACATTTCTACATGTAATCAGTTCATTATATCAACAGTCTATTAAAAGTAAAATGAAATCATTTCAATAGATGCTGAAAGAACACTTGAGAAATTCAACATCTGTTCATGATAAAAACTCTCTGCCAACTAAGAATGGAAGAAAACTCCCAGCTGATATGTGATATCTATGACAAACCTGCTATTAACATCATACTTAATTATAAAAATAAATTTCCCTAATATTGAGAAAAAGGCAATGATGTCCACTTTTTCCACTTCTTTCAACATTTTACTGGCGGTAACTAGTCAATGCAATAAGGAAGAGAAAGAAGTAAATGTCATATAGATTGGATAAGAAGAAGTAAAACTGTCTTGATTTTCAGATGATGTAATTATTCATATAGAAAATCTTAAAGAATCTCTACAAATACCTATACAAACTAATTTATGAGTTTAGCAAGGTGGCAGAGTTCAATGATATACAAAAATTAATTGTATTTTTATAGACATGGAAAGACCATTTGAAAATTAGAATTTAGAAAATAACACTTAATGACATCAAAATACTAAAATTTAACAAAATATGCACCAGATTTTGTTTGTGAAGGATTGCAAAATATTGCTGAAAAGAATTCAAGAATATTCAAGTAAATAGAATGAGATAGCATAATCATAAATTGAAAGACTCAATATTATTAAAAGTTTTTCCAAAATTTATCTATGGATTCAAAGGAATGCCAATCTAAATCCTAATCACAGAGGAATTTCTTTTGTAGAAATTGACAAATGCATTCTAAAATTGATATGGAAATGCAAAGGGCCTAGATTAACCAAAACTATTTTGAGTAAGAACACTGTTGAAAGACTTCCAGTACCTGATTTCAGGACTTATAATTAAGTTACAACAATCAAAACACTGTGATTTTGATCTAAGATTACACATAGCCAATGTGATAGAATAGAGAATCCAGTAACAGGCCCCATACACATTTGATAAACTGCTTTTTGTCAAAGGTGAAAAGGATAGTCTTTTCAAATAGTGAGAGAACTATTGGATACTGATATACTTAAAACTGAACTTACCTCATATTATAAAATTTAACTCAGTAAGGATCATATACCTAAATGTAAGAGTTAAAACTCCAAAAACGTTAGATATTCAGCTTGCTAGTACACAAGAAAATACCAGCAAAGAAAAGCAAGAAATAAGGCTAGTCCACAGGAGAAAAATCATGTGTGCATGGTATGTCTGTTACAATGTCTGTCATGAAATCTAAGAGTTTATTTTATGAAAGAATGGATAAGCTATGTCAAATATTGCTGATAGGTGGAATAATAAAAGAAAACAAATTAATCATTGGGATTAGCAAGAAACAGGTCATTACTAATGTTGATGAAAGCCATTTAAGTTGAGTAGTTGGGGAAAAACATCTGATTGAAGTGGGTTGTACAGAAAATGGGAGGTGAATCAGCAAATATAGAAACTTTACCAAGGAATTGAACTTAAAGCATAAAACTTAGGGCAGAGGGACATATAGGGATCAAGAAATGGTATTTTGAAGATAAAAGATGTTAGAACATGTTTGTGAGGCTATGGCAATTATTAAATGGAAAGAAAAAAGATGAACAAAAGGGGAATAATTGCAAGAAAACAGGTATTGAAAAGATTAGGGAATAATATACACTACACAGATGGTATATCAGCCTCTGATAGGATGAAGAAAATTTTTTTATTGTAATAGGAAGAGTAAACAGTATACAGATTAAGATGGCTGGAGATGTTGAACTAGGTGTTGGAAAGTTGAGTTGTTCTTGTTTTACTTCATCTATTTCTCTATGACACATCAACTGGAAGTAAGAAGAAAAAGTAACAGATTAGAGAAGAGGTGTGATATTGTCACATTGGTTAGAAGAAAAGTATATTTACTAAGGAAAGATAATAAGAATGTCTGAAAGTGTTGTATCATTTGAGATTTGTGACAAAAAATTAGAGTTCAGTCATAATGGTTTTCTCCAGCACCATTCAGCTACTTGGTAAAAGAGGGGAGGACAGTCTGGGCACAGTGGCTCACACCTATAATCCCAACACTTTGGGAGGCCAAGGCGGGTGGATCACTTGAGGTTAGGAGTTCAAGACCAGCTTGGCCAACATGGTAAAACCCTGTTTTTACTAAAAATACAAGAATTTGCTGGTTGTGGAGGCACACACCTGTAGTCCCAGCTAGTCAGGGAGGCTGAAGCAGAATTGCTTGAACCTGGGAGACGGAGGGTCAGTCAGCGAAGATCATGCCACTGCACTCCAGACTGGGTAACAGAGTGAGACTCCATCTCAAAAAAAAAAAGTGGGGGAGGACATATGATAGAATTTGAATGTTGAATAATAAGGAACCCATTCTGATAATCTGTTCTTGTATTTTCAGATATCAGACTCAAAGTCAAAAAATGTGTTATGAATGTCATGTTTTGTAGGAGGGAAACTTTTCACAAATTCAACTTAATATGATATATTCCAATGATTAAAAGGTCTTAGTTTCAGCAAAGTTATCATGATTTTAATTGAAATCTTATTTAAAGTTTAAGACTGTTCCCTCTTATCCCTTAAATGTAAACGAAGATCACCTTACCTCTTTAGAGCTCTTAAATCTAGAATTGAATTAAACGTTGTAGCAATATTTGATCAATATTAAATGCAGTTCTAGTGATCTTATTACTACAGTTGGCCACTGTTGAGGATACACTGAT